CGCACACACACACACACACACACACACACACACCCAACACACCCACACACACACACACCCTCACACACACAACACACACACAACACACACACACACACACACACACACAGCTGTTGCCACAGTAACCCACTCCTCACCATTCACTCCTGGAGTGTTGCTCGGTGGCACGTCAGACAAAAGGGCATTCTGGGAAGTGCATTCATGGCTCTGACACCCCCCCCCCCCCCCCCCCCCATTCAAACTCCATAAACCAGAGCTGCTTTTTCCAACAATCACCCTAACCCTGAACACAACACCTCCACAATCACACGCTCGAAAACAAACAGAAACGTTAAAGGATGAACATTTCTGAGATCTATCACATTTACATACACGTGCATACTTGTTAGATTTAAGAGGAGCCTCTACAGGGTACCAGTCAGGTTGTGTTGATGTTTGGTTTCAGTGTTGTTGTTAATATAGAAATCATTAGAAAGCTTTAAAGACCGGGAGGTCTGTGTTTAGATGCCGTGACTCTCAGGTGCTCAAAGCTGGATGAGGATATGACATCATTACATTGCATTGGTTGAAAGCCCTCGATCCTGGGAGTCTAAGGAATTGGTTTAAATCAAGGTTCAGGGAATCTGAAAAGGTTTCGGGGAGGCTTTAATAGAAAGGTGTATTCATGTTCTTTATACCTGTGTTATTCATGTTTTATCTTTATTTGATTATCTTTGCTTTATAATGAATGTTTTTAAATGTCATTTTATAACGTGTATCCATCCATCCATCTTCTCCCCCTTATCTGTGGTCGGGTCTCGGGGTATCAGTTCCAGCAGAGAGCCCCAAACGTCCCTTTCCTATCAACCAGCTCTGACTGGGGGATCCCAAGGCGCTCCCAGGCCAGCGAAGAGATATAATCCCTCCACCTGGTCCTAGGTCTACCCCTTGGTCTCTTCCCAGCTGGACGTGCCTGGAACACCTCCCTAGGGAGGCGCCCAGGTGGCATCCTAACTAGGTGCCCGAACCACCTCAACTGGCTCCTTTCGACGCGAAGGAGGAGCGGCTCAACTCCGAGTCCCTCCCGGATGACTGAACTCCTCACCTTATCCCTAAGGGAGACACCAGCCACCCTGCGGAGGAAACCCATCTCGGCCGCTTGTATCCGCGTTACAACGCTGCACTATTTATAGTATTTTATTCTGTAAAGCACTTTTAATTGCCTTGTGTTGAAAGGTGCAATATGAATAAACGTGCCTTGCCTTTAGCTGATGCTTTCATCCAAAGCGACGTATAATGAGTGCAATAAACCATAAAGATTCAAACTAAGGACATCAAGAACAGCTGACATATTTACTTCAAATCAACATCATTGTAAGTGCTGCTGCATAGTTGACTCTTGAGTGCGTTTTACATGTTTGGGGTTATTGGCTAAGGTATAAGAGAAACAGGTACAATATCAATCAGATAATTGATTGTTTGTATAGATGTATAGAAATGGCTGCCTTGAATGTACAGATGTCTTTATCTGCTCCTTCCTGCAGGAGGACATCAGTCAGTCTGAGTGTTTTCTGTTTATCTGCAGACGGCAGCCCCGTTGTTCCAGGTTTACGATGGACAGCTTCTCTTTCTGAAGTCCTGTAGAATCAGAGGCTGCTTTCACAGCTGTGTTTACAGAGGGACACACAAAGACTTTAGGTCTCATTACACCATGAATATCAGAAATGTTTTGTTGAAGGAGAGACACTACTCTTTATATTATTCTAAATCAGATGGCGTTTTATTACGAACTTTAAAGGGACCCTAATCTGCTCATTTTCAGCTTCATGGCTGCGTCTCACTTCTCTTATTTTTCATTTCCTCGCTCCTCGGTCTCGGTATCACCGGAAGTTGATTTGTCTGCGCCATCTTGAGTTGCGTCCCAGTGGCCTTATTGGTGCCGGAGGAGCGAGGATCGAGGAGCGAGGAGCGATAACCTGCTGCTGTTCCCTTTAGAGTTTACTTCCTGTCTATATTCCTCTGCTGTTCCCTTTAGAGTTTACTTCCTGTCTGTTCCCTTTAGTGTTTACTTCATGTCTGTCTCCTTCTGCTGTTCCCTTAAGAGTTTACTTCCTGTCTGTCTCCTTCTGCTGTTCCCTTAAGAGTTTACTTCCTGTCTGTCTCCTTCTGCTGTTCCCTTAAGAGTTTACTTCCTGTCTGTCTTCTTCTGATGTTCCCTTTAGTGTTTACTTCCTGTCTGTTCCCTTTAGTGTTTACTTCCTGTCTGTTCCCTTCAGTGTTTACTTCCTGTCTGTTCCCTTCAGTGTTTACTTCCTGTATGTCTCCTTCTGCTGTTCCCTTTAGAGTTTACTTCCTGTCTGT